TGCTGTCATGTTAAACTTATATTAAAGTTTTTCTTCATTACCCATTTAAGCCGTCTCCAGCCATTATTAGTCTCAAAGTGGGTTCCTCGTCATCGAATTCCTTTAAATATGTATGTCTACTTTGTTTCAGCCTAATATCTCATATCTTCACCTTTTTTTTTTGGCATCTGTGAATTAATGACTTGCCAATGAATCCAACATTTTGCATGGAGCATCTGAATAAGATAATTGGACAAGTAATTCCAAATATTTTATATGTACAGAGATACTCTGCTCCTAAAATTTACTTTGGAAACTTATTTCTGGTGTGCCACACCAAATCCATTGGGTAAGCCAGCTACTAATTCTTAAGAGCTCTTATGGCTGTAAACTGTATGATTAATGTCATTGGAGCTGGTCCTTTTAAATGGGCAACTTAGTGAATAGCTTGATGTTTGCTACTCCACCTTTTCACCTTAGAAGTCATTTCAAACTGAGCTTCATATACCTCCAATGGTACCTTTCCATCATATTCCATTTGTTTTTGATTGAGTGGTGTTGTGGAACAGGCCAGTTAAATGTTTTTAATGAATTAGGTAGCTATACAGCTAGAGTAGTCCAGGAAGGTCCTTCAGTCACAGATGGCACAGTAGTTGGGGTAACAGGTGTACATCAAGTAGTGTCTACAATCTTATATTCTACAGAAAATGGTGTTTTAGGTTGGAATTATAGGGCAGAAGCAGAAAGAGGTATGGCTGGTTTGATTTTTTTCATTTACTAATTCAATTTATAACTGTTTTATTCCATCATTTACATTCTTTTTTACCTCACTGATCTTGTTGTTATGATATTTCTGTACTTCATTGATATCTTTTTGCTTCTTCAGTTTTGTCATCACAATCTTTCTGTACTTCTTCAATCTTCTATGTAAATCTTTTTGTTCTTAATTCTTTTTTTAACTACTATTCATCTTTCTTTTAACTCTTCTCTTCCTTACCTCTTGTGTTTTAGTTTTCTGTCTCTTAATTCTGTTAATTATCTTTATCTTGTTTTATTTTCTGTAAATATATGCTTGTTCTTTTAGTTTTCTTTATATTTTTTCTTGCTCTTAGTTAGAGTTTTGTCCCGTTCTTGTTACTTTCTGACTCTTTCTTCTTGTGCTTCTTTTAATTTTTTGCTTATTTCTTCTTGATCTTTTTTAATGCTCTTCTTTCCACTTTTTCATTATCTCCAGTACATTTTCGATTTTGCTTCATACTGGTATCCTAATCTTAAGTTTTATTCAAGGTTTTACTTTATTTCTGCCAAAGTAATCGCACTTATGACAAAATTATTGTAACGGGTTCTGTCGTTGGCTGAGTTCTTTTGGTTTATTCGGTAAATTAATGCAAAGTTCAGTTATGCTCATTGGTAAGCTTAACTTCACAAACAGGTTTCAACAGGAATTCCGAAATTAATGTATGCCTAACACGCATATTAAGCTCAAGTCACTTACGTGCACAAATTCCTCATTGATCTATCAATAGCAAACATGCTGACTGATTAGCTTACTCCATAACAAACAAGCAGTCTCACAAACTATCATTGTCTAACTCACCAAAACTCTTTAATTGACATTGAACTGATTAATTAGTATAATTCACTCAGTCTGGCATATTTATATTTTACTCTATTTCTCCAAAATTCATGAGAGGCTTAAATTTTCATGAAAAGTTTGGCCCCCAGCAATAAGTCTGAAGGTGTTTCAATACCCGTTGTGGGCACAATACAGATAGCCCATTGTGTAGCTTTGTGTTTAACTATAAACACACAAATAAAAGCTCTGGACGTCACACAATTATTCCATCATGTAAAACATCCCCCTCTGTGGAACAAAATATTGCTACAATGTGGCCCATTTCATACATGAGTATCTTAATGTCAAGTTTATTGTTATGTATTTTTAAGTAGTACTTTATGAAATTTTTATGATATGTAAACTTAAATTAGATGTTTTTTATTACTAATTTCATGATCTACTGGAAATAATGCTTGAAAACAAAGTGTTTGTGTACAGATTTTTGACTATTCTATATAGTTAAAAAAGTAACTAGAATGGTACCCAGTAGAGCGCATACCTCCGCCACGAGCGTTGATCATATTCGGCTCTCAAAACATACGCAAATGTGTCCGTATGTCCGTCGTTACCAACGGATACGAACCATTTTTGGCAGGACAATGAGGAATAATATTCTACCTATGTCAACTTAGCTTCTTCAAAATCAGGTCACCTTGTCGAAACGTTGTACATTTGCTGTCATGTTAAACTTATATTAAAGTTTTTCTTCATTACCCATTTAAGCCGTCTCCAGCCATTATTAATCTCAAAGTGGGTTCCTCGTCATCGAAGATAGCTTTTTATTTTCATGACCTTGATCCTCGTGCTCCAAAAAGCTAATAATATCTAAGTTGTGTCATAGTCGAAATGTATAACAACTTTCATCAAAGTCCATTCAACCGTTTTCAATAAATCTTGCTGACAAACACCACACACAGAGGAGAAAACATTAACAATGGTAAGAAGGTGCATTTAATCTGACACAAGATAGAAAGGACAATAATTTAATTGCTTCTTCCTTTTCTTGCAAAATGTATATTGTTGCGTCAGCGAGGTCACGTGACTAGTGTCACGCCACCTGCTTTCTAGAAATATACTGTTCCTTCGTGAATGCCCTAGCATTTACTAGATTGGGGGTAGACTGGTATATATATAGGATGGTCACAACGTGACGGGACAATGTGTGTAGGTAGTGAGTAATTGAACTGCAGTCAGAAAGTATTGTTGAAGTTCGTTGTTATAGCGTTTGTTATAAAGCGACTGTTGAAAATAAGTGTATCGGTAAAGTTATATTCGGAAAGAATAAACCAGTTTTATTAAGAAAGGACTTGTGTCGCTAAAGTTTCGTGGGAACGAAGTTACGAAAAATCAACTAACGACTGGAGGCGTAACAATATAATTATTTTATTAGTAGGAAAGACTGCTTTTCCACTTGCTTCAATTACAACACAATACAAATAAAAAGGTGAGTGTATATTTCACAATAAAACTTACAGAAAATTACAATGAATGCAACTCATTTATGCTGAATTTAATATACACTGTGTACATTCTCAAGTTTT